CCTTTGTGAAAACTTGACAGAGACTTCAGAGTTATTTTGTGTTGCATCTTTAAAATGAGTTGGTTGGCTGGTCTGCAACTGCACAATTAATTCTTGTAGGAACCTAGATCTTTATTTCCTCCAGACCAAAATACATCCTTGTGAATATTTGTTCGAGTATTCATTTCAAGTGTTTTTTCTACAGCTGAATTTATTCTGTAATATGGCACTCAATAACCAGTCTGATTCATTCAGATTATATTTATTACTTTAAAATTTTGAGAGTGCTCTCCAGTTTAATTCTAAAACTGTGTAAACCTTTGTAAGTGTGATCTGGAGATTTTAAATTAAACAATGATATTCAACTAGATCCAAACCTACTCTTGTTATATTACATAAGTGACTTTCAACAAGTCATCTGCTCCCTTGTAAGAGTCATCTACATTGGACAAAAGGCTTGTATGAGTATGTAAGCATCTCTTACCTGTCCTTTGAGGGTAAAATAATTTTAGTTACACTGGCTTAGGTCACTCCTGTCATTCACAGTGCTTTAATAATTTGACAAATTTCTCCCAATTTTCACCAGGATTTTAAATACCGGTAAACATAGGTTTTCGCGGAGCGTTAGGTTTTGGCCAAAGACATATTTATTTGTTGGAGACAGACTGGATAACGCCTGGTTTACACATTTTAAATTTATTCAAGGCTGGCTTTTACAAGAAGAATCTTTTCCTATAATTCATAATACTGTTAATTATGCGATCTACATTCAGTTCATCGTACACAGTTTACTTATAAATCTCCTTATATTTGTTGATAATATATATTTGTTTGAATCATATCTATTACCTAAAGCATCTAAATACAAGTTTAAATCATCAGTATTCACAGACTTTCTTGATTCATTAATTCCAATCATTTATGTATGCTTTTGTTACTGACCCTTTCTAGCTGGCCTGAGATGCTTTCTTTGCTCTATATTCCATATGTTTGTTTCTACATTAATTTCCTTGTTTTCAGCCTGATGCAAGTATTACAATCAACGTTAATAATACTGATTATGTACTAAATTATGCACTTTATAAGTAAATAGTACATACTTACCTTTAAATAAATTCTAGTACTTGAGCTTAGCAAATTACTTGTAAAAATTGTAATATAAATTTTAAATACACCCATTAATAATGTTAGCTACACTTGGGTCTTAAGCAATTACACATGTAAGAAATTTATTATATAAATTTTAAATGTACAATTAATACAAACCTTTAGCAGCCTTGGCTTATCAAAATTATTATACAAATTAATATAAATCCTTGCCAGAAACTTTGCATAGCAAAAATTTATTAATTTTTTATACAACATTAATATAATTAGCATTGCATAGCCTTATCAGTTAAACATACATTGATATAAATCTTGGCCAGAATTGTCTTATCAAATTAATATTGTAATAATTTTATCCACTACACATTAAGTAAAATTAATATATACAAATTAATATAATTAAGGCAACACCTTTACTTATCAATTACTCATATTGATATAATTCTTGCTCAATTGTCTTATCAAATTAATATTATACCAAATATAAATTCCTTGCCAGTATTTGGTATGCAAAATTTAATTTTATACAACAATATATTAGTTTAACACTTGGTTTCAATTACACATACACTTATATAAATCTTGGCCAGAATAGTCTTATGAAAATTAATATTATACAAATTATTATGAACCTTAGCCAGATTGACTTCATCATATTTAATAACTATTATAATTATTATAATCCACTACACATTAAATAAATTGTGACTTAAACATTCACCTCCTGTCATTTTTCAAATATAATTATTAAGTAATTAACCATTTTAATGATTCACTAATTACCTCCTGGTTCAAGAAGGGACCAACGGGCAAATTAAATGTGGAAAATTAAATTTAATCCTGAATGTAACTATTTATGTACATAACAGTAAAGATAAACCAAAGATAATTATTATTTTTCAATGTATTACATAGACAAGTAGGAATTTGGGACACTAGGTCGCAAAAAAATGTCCTCCTTCGATACCTTCACTGTCTTAACCACAAGTTGCTCTGGACACTTCGGTGAAAAGCTCTGTTTCCTCAAGACACAATACTCGCTCCCATTCTTGTTCCTCATCCTCATATCCGGAATAGACAAGGTGTCAGCCACAGCACCGTGTCTTCCTTGAGATGACACCAAATCTGCATGACACGTGTCTTTCCATTGCAGACACTGCAAGGCTCCAGGCGGTCATCACCAAATCTTTCAGTGGGCCTGCAGATAAACAATATTTTTTGAAGTTCAACGATGAGAAATTTCAATTACTTCAGATATGGTAAAATGAGAATTAAATCTTCATCAGAGTACAAAACCAAATTCTTGGCCACATAATTGAGCGAAACACCAATGGCAAAGACCTGGGAGTGATAACAGTGATTTGTGGAGGGATATGTCACCTTCAAGGACCATAACATTGTATCAATGGCATCTGCTAGAAAAAATGACGATGGATAATGAGAACCTTCAAAACTAGGGAGGCCAAGCCATGATGACACTCTTCAGGTCACTTGTTCTATCTAGGCTGGAATATTGCTGCACACTAACAGCACCTTTCAAGGCAGGTGAAATTGCCGACCTAGAAAAATGTACAGAGAACTTTCACGGCGCGCATAACGGAGATAAAACACCTCAATTATTGGGAGCGCTTGAGGTTCCTAAACCTGTATTCCCTGGAACGCAGGAGGAGAGATACATGATTATATACACCTGGAAAACCTAGAGGGACTAGTACCGAACTTGCACACGAAAATCACTCACTACGAAAGCAAAAGACTTGGTAGACGATGCACCATCCCCCCAATGAAAAGCAGGGGTGTCACTAGCACGTTAAGAGACCATACAATAAGTGTCCGGGGCCCGAGACTGTTCAACTGCCTCCCAGCACAAATAAGGGGGATTACCAACAGACCCCTGGCAGTCTTCAAGCTGGCACTGGACAAGCACCTAAAGTCAGTTCCTGATCAGCCGGGCTGTGGCTCGTACGTTGGTTTGCGTGCAGCCAGTAGCAACAGCCTGGTTGATCAGGCTGATCCACCAGGAGGCCTGGTCACAGACTGGGCCGCGGGGGCGTTGACCCCCGGAACTCTCTCCAGGTAAACTCCAGGTAAACACCTGGAATACTGGTAAATATATAAATTTGTGGACTGTATATTAAAAATAATAAATGGTTATATATATATACACAATTACATAACAGAAGGAAAATATATCTTAATATCACTCACCAATTTGACTGGAGATTAATGTGTATCATACTCAGAAAACCTCACTCTAACTAAATCTATGAAAATAATGCTGGCCAGAATTACACACAAATCTAGAGAGCTTATCTGAGGTTCCTGGAGCTGTCTTGTCCAGTCGTCTGATATCTCAAGTTATGCAGGAATGCACATCCACCAATTTCGCCTCCTGTTTGAGAGGTGTCAACACAATTTTAACCTCTAGAGCACGAAAAATTCTTCCCCATTCACCAACGTTTCTAATACAAATTAAAAAACCAAGATGGCAAGTGTGTCTACTTTTTTTCGATAACATACTTCTTTTAAAAATACAATATAGGGCATCTATTTACCTATAAATTACCGTATTTCCGGAAAATATATACAGTATTTTCCACAGTTTTGATCCGAACTTACTCATTTTATTATGCAATATATAAACATGTTATGTATACCCCGACAACAATTGGTAATTAATTATCATAATTATTATTATTAATCTTTATTGCCACAAGTACATGTAGAAGGTATACAGTCTTAGCTGACATCAATATCATACTAACTGTATAGAAATCCCCTTATTATGCAAGCATTTCAGGAAAATTAGGTTAATTTTGTCCCCAGGATGCGACCCACACCAGTCCACTAACACCCAGGTACCCATTCTAGCGCTAGATGAATATGGACACCAGGTGTCTTAATTAAGGAAACGCGTCCTATGTTTGCACCCGTACCAGGGATCTAACCATGGACCTCAGCATGTGAGTTAGGTTAGGTAAGGTTTGTCAGGAAACAGGACAAGTATTTCCTGACGCGAGTCTTAGTCAGAAGATGACCCGCCGTTGGAGCTTTTGGTGATCTGACTAACACCTTCCGCTGGCCTACCGGTCCACCCCATTAAAAATTATGGTCATAATTATAAGCATTTAGTTAAGTATGTAAGTTGAGTGCACTAACTTTTATTTTTATTCTTGTAGATATCAAAAAATGGTATGGGCTTTATGATTACTGTATATTTTTGTAAATGCAGTAGATAGGTATCTGAGTGTTAGCCGACTGGTGTGGGTAAGTTTATTCACGTATAGGTACACATAAATACAGTTTCATAAATAATCATACATAGCATTTGTGTAGATTATCGAGAATAACCTGGGGCAAAATTAATCTAAGTTGTTCGAAATGCTCTGCATAACCAAAGGAGCTTTATGTATTATGTCCCCTCAAGGAAGGTTCCTTGATGTTGGTGAGGGGCTCTTGATTTAGGGAATTGGATCTGTGCTCCAGTTCCCCGAATTAAGCCTGAATGCCTTCCACATCCCCCCCCCCCCAGGCGCTGTATAATCCTGTATAATAATAATATATAGTATGTCACTTATGTTATTTAGGTCGGCATAAGTTATATTATGTACTTGTGGAAATTATTATTATTTATTATTATTATTATTATTATTATTAAGAATCTAAATCTAAATAATATTATCAACATTGTTTCTAGTTTCCATGGAAAAAACCGCGAAAATGTTTTTTAAAACCGTATCACACAATCGTGAACTTTATATCAAGTTTTATCATTACTCTATATTATAATACATTATTAAGCTTTAAGACACACCAGAACCTTGTTATCTTACGTGTTTATTTTATTATTAATAATATAAATAATGTCATAGGTATAATTAAACATGTATAATTAAATCAACTCGTCTTTATTTTTGAAGTTTGAAGGAAGTGAAGTACAGTGTTGTCAACACTCAACCTCAGTGTTAAACTTAATTTATCCTAATTTACGGTTACTAGGAGGCATTAATGAAGCTCTCGGGGGTCTTTTAAGACATTCTACTATTGTTATCTTTTATTGTCATTGGAACTGCAGGTAATTTTTATGTATTTTGTCAACAGCCAAGGTAGTGTTCAAATTTCAGTATTTTTAATCATACGTTTTTATTTTCTATTTTCAGCTGATACAGGTTATTCTGAGTGGACGGTGTATGGATGGGGCAACCGTCACTGTGACTTATTGTATTTGACAATATTTGGCTAAAAAAAAACCTACCAAGGGCGGGGATAAAACCCGTGATCAGTCTCAAACTCCAGACCGTCACGTTAGCCACTGGAGTTTTCAGACTGATCGCGGGTTCTATCCCCCCCCCGTGGTATGGTTTGTTTGCAATCGTGTCATTAAGATTTCGTGAGTCAATATTTGGCTTTTAGTTAATGGCTAATAGTAAAATAAAAATATTTTACTATGACCTGTAGGGGTCATAAGGTGCCTAGAAGTTGAAGCAGTCACGTTTGATCTAAGTTATCAGAGGGTAGCTCCAGTTTCGTGGATCAAGAGCCCTAATGATCGATGCACTACCCCTGTGGAAATATAAACACTTAAGCAGTATAATGTGATCCTTTATTGACAACGTTTCGCCCACGCAGTGGGCCTTATCAAGTCACAAACAGATCTACCCCTGTACACTCCGTAATGAAGGTGAACAAGATAGTACATGATAATATACACTTGGAATATCCTAGAGGAATTGGGCCCAAATTTGCACACAAAAATCACTCTGTGATGCAGGGCAGGCAGTGCAACATCCCCCCAATGAAAAGCAAGGGCAACACTAGTACGATAAGAGACAACAATAAGTGTTAGTGGCCCAAGACTGTTCATCTGCCTCCCAGCATGCATAAGGGTAATCACCAATTGACCCCTGGTGTGATGTAGTCCAGCTGGGCTTGTGAGGTCTCTGGGGAGACCTAATTTAACCAATTATATGGTCACACCTTGCCTTGGCAAACGTCTGTAGCCACGACTACGTCTGAGGTCTTTTGTTCTTGACGCCTCAGACCTAGGCGTCAGGTCGTACACGTGGTTGTGGAGGGTGCTTGGACCACCATAAAAGCCCAAGGAAGAGCATGATCATGAGATTGGAGCGGAGCTGCTGCTGGGGCGCAGAGCTCCTGAGCAGAAGATTCGGGCAGAGCTCTGGCCTGGGTGCAGAGCTCTGAGCAGAGACAATTCGAGCGGAGCTGCTGCTGGGGTGCAGGGCTCGGGAAAAGGCTGCTGAAGTCTCTGGAGGAGACTGTTGGAGGCACTGGGCAGAGTACTGGCTTGGCGTCGTACTCTTGCTGTGTAGGTCTTGGGACCTGTGGCTTAGTTCCTGTAGTGAACTGTCCTCTGTGCTATATTGTAAGTTATATTCATTTTCGTCAAGTTGATTGTGTTCCTTGTCTCACTGCCTATGTGTACCACCCCATTTATCTAAACCCCAATGATATACTCCTGTTCCCAAATATATTATTGTACAAGGACTTAATAATAAACTGTGTTTGAGTAGAATAGTAATATTCACTGTCCCCGTTATTTGCTATTCCTATTTCTTATTTTATTTCATGTAGTGAGAGGGAGTGTAGTGTGGTGGGTAGAGTAATGAGAGGTGAAGTTATAGTCACCAGTGACCTTACATTATCTACCTACCTCACTCCTACCACCTCGCCTGTCCCCTACCTACTGACTCCCCCCGCTTACCCCTATATTCCCCTAATCATTACCCCCGTACATGACATGGTGTCTAAGCGGTGGTGGTTCTTCTTATTTTTATAGTAGGAACCAGTCCCATGTGCCTTATTTTTGACTGCTCGGTTACACTTGTTATGCTACCATTTGCTACCAATTTTTTTTTTTCTTGTGTGTGTAAAATCTAAAGTGAATATCTGTATGATATTATAATCCTAGTGACCTTAACTGTCCTTTTTTGACGGTGGGTCTAAATAATTGTTTGGGTGTAATATTATATTTGGTGGAGTTGGTTGTTGGTTTGAGATAAATGGTGGAGAATATCAGTATTTGGGTGAGACTTTTGGGGGAAGCAATTACTGGCCGAAATTGAATATTTACAGAGGAACGAGGAGTCACCCAGCCCGCCTTGGAAGACTCACCCACAACTATCACCCATTGAAGAGTTGCCTATGATTGCTGTCCACCTGATGTGCCCAGTCACCCAGCTGATGTGCCAGTCACCCAGCTGATGTGCCCCCAGTAGATTATTGCTGCCCTGGTCTGTCATCAATTGTAGTGGGTGTCTGTCTGCGTCACCCAGCCTCTGTGACCATCACCCGCGGACCGCACCTGCTGTTGATGACCTGAAGTGACCTCGCCTCACCTCCAGCAACTGACCATAGCCTGCTACTGCTGATGTCGGCTGCTGTGATGCTGCTGAGATGCTGTAGCCGTGCTGCGATGCTGTGGCCGTGCTGAGATGCTGTAGCCGTGCTGCGATGCTGTGGCCGTGCTGTGTGCTTGCTATGATGTTGAGATGCTGCGGCCGTGCTGTGATGCTGGGACCGTGCTGCGATGCTGTGGCCGTGCTGTGTGCTGCTGTGATGCTGTGGCCGTGCTGTGATGATGGATATGCTGTGGCCGTGCTGTGATGCTGCCTAGCTCAAGAGGAGATGGCGGTGATGCTGCAGTGGTGTGTGAGGGATTCTGGCTGGTGTGCCAGGACAGGAGAATCTACTATGAAGGAGTTGCCATCCTCGGAGATGTGGAAGGACGTGAGCCGCGGAGATGGACTCCAGCTGCTGGGACCAGCCTGCTTTCAAGGGCGGCATGGAGGTGTGTCCTGCCTTGCTGGTCGACCTGTGCGACAGGTATGCGGGGATGCCCTGCCAGCCATGAGAGACAATTAAGAGTGTGAGATGTCCCCAGCCTACTTTGACTTGCCAGAAGTGTTAGTGTTACCTGTGTGGAATAAGGTGACCTTGAAAACGGTCCAGTGATTATGGCCGCCTTGTTTTATGAGTTCAGTGAATCCTAGTAGTGGCATAGGATAATGGAGGGTCTTAGCTGCGATGCCTGCCCTGTCTCGATTTTCAGATGTTGTGTGTGCATGTGAAGTGTGCCGAAAATGCACCTTGGTGGTCGTGAAGTGGTCCATTGCAGTTACTTGAAAGAATGCAACCCGTTGGAGCAGTTTTCCACGCCATAGAAGCCTAGAGAAGTTTGGCCCAATGGTTAACGTGCGAGGGTGACAAGCATTGGCTAGTGCATTTCTAGTAGAAGTAGGGAAGGGACTGGAGCCCGATATTTAGGTTTAAGGAGAAATAACGGGTAAGGAGGCTTTGCACCAGAGAGCGGACTATTATGCTGGCCAACTGCCAGAGGTACTGATTATGCTGCCTTGTGGGTAGTTGAGGAGGTTGAGGGAAATATAATTGTATTATGTATAATTTTGTCTTTGTATTGTAATAGATTTAAGGGATTAGGATTAAAATAGTCTAATAACTAGGACAAATTGTCCTAGTTCTCAGATATTTTAAATTGGGGAGAAAGGGGGATGTGATGTAGTCCAGCTGGGCTTGTGAGGTCTCTGGGGAGACCTAATTTAACCAATTATATGGTCACACCTTGCCTTGGCAAACGTCTGTAGCCACGCCCACATCTGAGGTCTTTTGTTCTTGACCCCTCAGACCTAGGCGTCAGGTCGTCACGTGGTTGTGGAGGGTGCTTGGACCACCCATAAAAGCCCAAGGAAGAGCATGATCATGAGATTGGAGCGGACTGCTGCTGGGGCGCAGAGCTCCTGAGCAGAAGATTCGGGCAGAGCTCTGGCCTGGGTGCGAGCTCTGAGCAGAGAGATTCGAGCGGAGCTGCTGCTGGGGTGCAGGGCTCGGGAGAAGGCTGCTGAAGTCTCTGGAGGGGGACTGTTGGAGGCATTGGGCAGAGTACTGGCTTGGCGCAGGTACTCTTGCTGTGTAGGTCTTGGGGGACCTGTGGCTTGTTCCTGTGATGAACTGCCCTCTGAACTACATTGTAAGTTATATTCTGTTTCGCCAAGCTAATTGTATTCCCTGTCTCACTGCTTATGTGTACCACCCTTTTCAAAACCCCCAAATGTACTCCTTTTCCCAAATATATTATTGTACAAGGATTTAATAATAAACTGTGTTTGAGTTAGAATAGTAATATTCCTGTCCCCGTTATTAGCTATTCCTATTTCTCATATTTTATTATGTTTATATGAGTGAAGAGTGGGCGAGGCATATGTTAGTGAGTAGTGTAGAGTTAATGAGAATGTCGTGGTGGTCACCACTGACCTGTCATTACCTACCTACCTCCGCTAATCATCTCACTCCTACCACCTCGCCTGCCTCTCCCCTCCCTACATAATCCCTTACTCCCATATTCCCCTTATATCCTATTCAATCATTACCCCCCTACATGACACTGGCTGTTTTCAAGAAGACACTGGATAGGCGCCCAAAATCAGTACCCAACCAGCTGGGCTGTGGTTCATATGTTGGTTTTCCTGTGGCCAGCAGTAACAGCCTGGTTGATCAGGTTCTGCTCCACCATGAGGCTTGGTCACAGACTGGGTTACAGGGGGCATTAATCCCCAAAACCTTCTTCAGGTATACCCCTGAGTGGCATTATTAGCATTATTATTAGTGTTATTATTTTTATTACTATTATTATTATTATTATTATTATTATTATTATTATTAATGTAATAATTGAATGTTTCCTTAAGATATTTTGGCAGTGAATTATAATATAAAATGTCCAGTATTAAGTAGATTGAGCCATGGAAATAGTGTTATGTTGTGTAAATGGGAAAAATTGCAGCACGATAATGTAATTATAGCAGATGTGGAAATTGCATGTTTTTATTTAAGTTTGTTGTGATTAGCTTGTCATGTCTAGTGACTGATGCAATTAGCTAACACCATTGGGTGACTCCTCTATTCTGTATTCTACCAAAAGTAGATATCTTTTCCTGTCTCCCAAATTAGCAATTTGTACAATAAATAACAATGTTTTCCATTGTATAAATAGCTTGTGTGTCAAAAAAATTTATTTAAGGCTAGAGTCCAACTGAGGAGCAACATTCAGTTGTAGCCATTAGATATTATTGTTTTGTTAGGGATGTACCAAAGGATTGGCATCGGTGGACATCAGCCATTTTTACTTTATCGAGGCTTTTACAATATTAATATTACACTTTTGCTTAAAAATATAAAAATTAACACCCTGTTATAATTCTGAGGGTTTTAAACACTCATTCACTCACAAACTCGCACTCTATCTTTCTGTCTGTCTCTAAACAAATGCCTTTGACAACTAGTAACTAACACAACAGGCCAAGTAATGACATTATCATCTCAGAGAAATTGTTATTTAATATTTAATCTTCATCTGTTATTTAATACCTATTGTGCAGTAAACATTTCCAAATATATTGAAGATAGTCATTATAATTTAAAAAAATATAATAAAAGTATCAGTATCGGCTAAAAATTAGGTATCAGTATTGCCAAAAACTTTGGTATCATTTCATTCCTTTATTATTATTACTTAATAATACTAGTTATTTCTTGATTCCATAGTAATAATATAGTTTACATGAATTAATATAATGGAAGGCATAGAAGAAAGCCACGAATTATACAATGCATTTTGGGCAACTAATCATAGACTATTAAGTAGGACTTCCTATGCAGCTAACTACAATCATGGGTACAATAAGAAAGGTAGCTAGTGACAAATGGTTAATTACAAAAGAACTACATATTATTTGAAACTGATTCAATGATCTTCAGTTTTGTGGAGTGATTGAACAGAGATGAAGATACAATAAGTTGCTTAGATTACAATAGAAATAAAATGGGACAAGATAAGAGGGAGTGCTGAACCCATAGGCATCATACAGTGAATGGGAAATGAGAGGCAACCAGGTTTGGTCCAGGTAATTGGAGGATAGCTCCAATTCCCAGGATCAGTGGGCCTTCACCAGCTTCAAGACCCTACCCCCCATCCCCCTTCATTTTCCCTTGAGCAGCAACACAAATGTAATGAACTATGAGATACATTATAATGTTAAACACATCCTTCAAGGAGAGGTGTCTTGATGCTGGTGAAGAGCTTTTGATCCAAAGAATTGGAGGTACCCTCCCATCTCTTGGATCAGATCTGATTACTGTACTTATTCCAGAGTAGCTGGCACATGGCTGGTGATTTGTTTTTCATCTCTTCCACATGCAATGATCAACGAATAAACAAGAATGTTTAGATTCGCAGAACAAGCAAAATATTTATAAACATTTATCTCATGCCGAAGGATTTGAGCTTATGAACTTTGGGACAAATTATGAAGTACTATACACACCATGCCAGACCAGACAATACTCTAATGCCCAGCAAGCTAGGCATTTGTTCCCAAGTAACTGGCACAGGCTACTAATTAACTTCTCATCTCCTTTTCCACATAGTCTGGTCTGGCATGGTGTGTATAGTACTGCATACTTTATCCCAAAGTTTATAGGCTAAAATCTCCGGCCTGAGATAAATGTTCATAAATATTTTGCTTTTTCTGTGAAGTCTAAACATATGGGACAGTTTTTTTATAATCAGATATTTTTAAAAAACTTTCATTCTTTTTCTTATAAAAAGAAAAATTGCTCTGGCATTAAGTAATTTTCTCAGTTATACAGTAATTCTAGGAAAATTTGTTTTGGTCTTGACTAATTAAGATGCTATAAATTTTTAAGCTTCTAACTAGTTTTATTTTTTCAGATCTGTCTTCATGGCCAGCAAAAGGAATTCAAGTTCTAAAGTTGTTCACCGGCGAACCTTCCAAAACAGCACACAAATGGTAGAGTTGACTCTTCGGACAATCCCAAAGTCTACATTACAGAATCGGGTATCTTCAGCTGTTCCACGACCTTTTACTAGAGATTGTGCACTGAAGAAGGAAATAGAAAAGATTACAAGAGAAAAAAACAACAACAACAACAACAACAACAACAACAACAGGGCTGGGCCCAAAAATGTGGGAAGATCACCTACAAATAATACAAAAAGCAAAACATCTGGTGGTGAAGTGTCAGTTGAGGTATTAAGGAAAAAACCCAGTAAAAAGCGGCACAGATTTGTCTCTCCAAATTCTACCTGGTTGGATGTGCTACATAAATCTAGCAGTGTTAGTAGTGCTGATATCAGTGAAAAATCATTACACACTACTGCAGATGAGTTAACAGAACCTCTTAATGAAGTTACTAGAGGACAAACATTATCAAGACAACCTGTCAGAAATTCACCTATGACTGAAAGTAGATCTTCAGACTCCACAAAAGGCAGAAATATCCATCAGCAGAGTTGTGCTGTACAGACATCTATACTGTGCCCTGCCCAGCCTCTCCCATATAATGAGAATTTATCAAGCTGCAGAGAAGATAGAAAGAAAACTGAAAGTATTCCTGAGAAGATAGGCATAAGGTTTTCTCCCCAGCAGAGAACTAATGCCAAAGACAATGCACTAGTAGCAAACAATTTCAGGAGTAGAGCTGGTGAATCTCAGGAACAGGATCTTGAGGTGCACTCTGAACAAGCAAGAGTAAGTTCTGTTTGAATTTTAGTTATGTAATAACAATATTTCTTATTAAGAGTGATTATTTTTTATAGGAGTACAAAAATTAGTAGGGGTTAAAAATTTGGCCAACATTGGTAGAGTTGTGAGTTTTTCATTTACTGTATCTTAGAAAAGCTCCCTTGGACAATAAAGCAGTAGTGCATAATTTCAGTAACTCTACACTTCTTTTTATTACAGGATGAAAGATTGAAATTAGGTGGTGTCAGTGCATTTGAAATCCAAAAACAAATGTGTTTTTTTTTCCAATTTTTGCCAGAATTTTTTCTTTCCTGCATGCCCAGGTTGCCGTCATGTATGAATCATGTAAAAGTAAAAAAAAAAAAAAAAAGCCTATACCTCTGATATACCTTTGAGGAGTTTCAAGGGAACTTTCAAAACGAGAGAAATAATGCCGATGGTGACACTTTTCAAATCACTAGTGCTCCCTCACTTAGAATATTGTTCAGTGCTGACGACTCCATTCAGAGCAGGAGAAATATCAGAGCTGGAACAGATACAGAAAATATTTATGGCTCACATTGAGCCAGTAAAGCACCTAAACTACTGGGAATGCCTTCAAGTCTTGAACATGTACTCATTGGAGTGGAGGAGAGATACATGATAATATATACCTGGAAAGTAGTCGAGGGCCTGGTCCCAAATCTGCACACTGCCATAACAACATATTGGAGTGAGAGAGATGGGAGGAAGCATCAAATAAACCCAGTGAGGAGCAGGGGTGTGGTGGGGACAATAAGGGAACACTGTATCAACATCTGGGGTCCCAAACTATTCAACATCCTACCAGAAGATATCAAAAACACGGCTGGGACAAGTGTAGAATTCTTCAAGAGGAAACTGGACAAGTATCTTCATCAGGTGCCAGATCAGCCAGGCTGTGAGGGATATGTGGGGCAGAGGGCCTCCAGCAGCAACAGCCTGGTTGACCAGGCAAGCACTAGACAAGCCTGGCCCATGGCTGGGCTCAGAGTAGAGAAGCTCTCGAAACTTCAAAGGTATTAAAGGTACTCTCTGAGTCCGGCCATGGGCCAGGCTCATCTGGTGCTTGCCTGGTCAACCTAGAACATGATTGCTGCATAACTCGCTAGTGCTGGCTACTAATAACTTGTGATTGCTGGGGTTGTCAAAGAAAAGTTCACCTCTTATGTGTATGACTTTACTACCTAGATCTGCCAGTCCTGTCCTGCATATTACATGTAATTTTGCCTTGTGTGATTTTTTTCTGTAAATTTGCTTGTGTGTGGTGGCATCATTTAACCAGTAACTTTCTATACACATTACAGATTCTAATGTGCTCTTCCAAGCCCATTACCACTTTATTTTTTAATCAGTTAGTGATTTTTATATCACTTTAACTGGTGTATATTGACATTTATAAAAATTAATGAGCATATTTTGAAAAACACCTTTCTGCTGGTTTTTAATTTAACCTTTTGGCTGTCACTCGCTTAATCTGTCAGTGGGATTAGTGTCACTCGTGTAGATCTATGCAGTCTTGGATACATTTGTATCTTGGAAACAGAAGCAAATGCAGTATAATGAGATCCTTTGAAAATTTTTTCCCTATGCAGTGGTTCAAGTGACTTGAAGAAGCCTCCTGGGTGAGCGACAGATTGTTTCGATCATTTTAGTATTATACATAATATGCCGTTTCTCTCCACAATTGTATCTACGTAGAAAATAAACTTGTGTTCTTGTAGTGTAGAGGTTCAGGTGAACAATGAAGAATATCAAAAAGGTATTTTTAGGGTGTGATACCTGTGTGCTCTGTTATTGCTTTTCACAAGTGTCTTGGGGTCAGTCTTATAGTGTAGTGTTTTGAAGATGTGGAGTGAACAGTAATATGTATGATATTAATACTGTATTTAGTAAGTAGGGATTTGAATAAAAGCATAGCATGTTGCCTAAAATTTTAGTTTTTAATGGTTTTGATGTCTCTAGTTGTGTGATAATTGGATTGTGGATAGCTGAGATGGAACCCCTGTGCATGAATTCCATAGGTTAGGCATGAATAGAAAGATAGAATAATGTTAACAATGTAAATTAGGTGGAGTGTAATTTTTTTTTTTTCTGGATACAAGCATTTATTGACATAGAAGAGGAAGAGAAAAGGGCCCAGGATGCTACCATTGGTAACATCTAATTTAAGTGGTTTTTAGTTGAGGAAGTGTTATTGTGACTGTGCTGTTATATGTTAGTTGATTGGGATTTGATGTATGTTGCTATGTATGTACCCTCAGAGTCTGTGGTGATTTAGTTTGCAAAGAATATTGTGGTCTACCCTATCAATCTTTTGGACATATTCATAACTGTTTAAGGTCTTTAGGGCATGTCATATAATGACTTGAATTTTATTTTTTTTTAGTCAGGTAATGATAGACTGCTGTCTGATGATGTTAATGCTTCACCCTTTGGAGAAAGTGCATTACAATTACTACGAGAACTGAAAGAGAGACTTCGGAAAAGAGGTTAGTCTTTTCTCTCATTTATATATCCTGCCTTTTAAAACTCTCGGTTGAATGAAAATTCTAGTTATTACTTAATGAACGTTTTTTTCATTTTCATAAACTTTTCAACAAACTGGCTGTATCCCACCAAGGCAAGTTGGCCCAAAAAGAAAAACAAAAGTTTCTCTTTTTAACTTCAGTAATACATGTATATGCAGGAGAAGGAATTATTAGCCTCTTGCTCCCAGCAAAAGGCTAGTAACCCCTAGGTTAGTCTGCTCATTGGTCTCAAGACTATGGTAGACCTCAAGATTTGCTTAGACCCAGCTAAGGGGAAAGCAAAGGGGCATGCGCATAGGATCCACCACGTACTACTTAGTCTCTGAGTATGTCCAGTGTCTGGAAACCTTAGAAGAGGGTTTCCATAGCAACTTAATCGCCCTTTATGACACACATGGCTTATGGAGGAAGAATTCTGTTCACTTCCCCATGGAGAATTTTCATAAACATGCGTAATAAATTTTTTTTTTTATACATATGTGTTTTCCATTGTATTTACTGTATGATGAAATAAAAACTGCATATTTCTTCATTCATGCGTTAATGATGGTTCAAGAGTCACAAACTTTGTATAATTTCCTTTCCAAATTGTGGGTAAGTTGTGAATTTCTCCAGACACAATATTACATTTATTTTCAATGTTTTAGGAACTTTAACCACAGGTGAAATTCATCCTCTTGGTTGAACAAAACAAAAAAATTAGAAAAATGTAATGTACCCTAACTGCATAAAATATTATTTCTCTCTTAGTTACTTTTAATAATTAAATACAATTTAATGTCATTTAGTATGTGCTTAATTTTCACTTATATTTGTTTATCATTTTACTTCATTTACCATCTCCCTCCAAGATAAGATAACAAATATGGAAACATTTACCCTCATTCATTCAATCACTATTTTGCTGGAGGTATGCTAACATTGTAATATAGATGATGACTTGCCTAAACATCCCCATCCCTTCAGCATGCAAGCACTGCCCTTTCCACCTCCATGACTCAACTCAGGCTAACCAATTTTCCTGAATCCCTTCATAAATGTTACCTTGCTCACACCCAGAAGCTTGTTAAGCAATAAAAGCCACTCATTCCATTCTCATACACTTGCTCACCTGTTGAATATTCAAGCCCCTATCACTCAAGACCTTTACAATCTGGGATGACCAGTGTTCCTCCATCCTTACATTCCAGATTTTTGCATTCATCATCCTGTCCTTCTCCATTCTCTTTACATGCCCAAACTACCTCGACAATCCCTCAGCTCCCAGAATTTTATCTTTGGTGATGGCCACAGTGTCTTCTAATTTCTTTGCTCCAGATTCTTTGCATATATTCACACCACACATTGTTCTCAAATGTGATATGTTCACTACATTCCTTCTTGCTGCAGTGTCTAGTTAGCTGGACTTGAGTTCTGGAGGTGGGAGGTACAGTGCCTGCACTCTCAAGGATGTATTGACAGATATTCCCTGTGTATATTTTAGTGGATGATAGATTATATAACTTCTCTCTTATTAACAGGTGACAGTCAGGATAGTGATGTGGTGGGCGTTCTAGAGGCTTTCATCAGTGGACAGGGCACCTCGGGTGGTGTTGGTGAGGGCAATCCACCTCCCTCAGTGCATGCTGCTTCATATTTTCCTCCTGTGTTTCCTCCTGATCAAAATATTTATCCCTCTCACTCCCATGTTCAACAAAACCATAAATCTGTCAATAGATTACCTCAAACTTTATACAGTGAAAATAAAAGAAAATGTTTAGGAGGAGGAAGTAATGTAAAACAAACTACGGAGGAAAGTTCTCCACAAAATGTGCAGAGTCAGCAAGGTGTCCATGATTTTCGTTTCAAAATTCCGGATCATCCCATCAATTTTGGAAATTACCCCATCCAGAGCAGTATGCAGCATATACATAGTGAAAATCTTAAAATTTTAACCAACCATGATGCACCACACAGTAATCACCATCAAGCACCACAAGACACAAACGGCAATGAAGAACTCTTGAGGTAATGATTATAGTAAATACTTTAGAGTTATTATTTGTCTGCCAAGTTCCATGAATGTATGCTATAAAAGTTTAAAAAAAATTTAGGCAACATAGTTGCTCTTGGGAGATTCTGAAGAGAAGTTGCAGAGATTGGTGGATGAATTTGGTAGGGTGTGCAAAAGAAGAAAATTAAAAGTGAATACAGGAAAGAGTAAGGTTATGAGGATAACAAAAATATTAGGTGATGAAAGATTGGATATCAGATTGGAGGGAGAGAGTATGGAGGAGGTGAATGTATTCAGATATTTGGGAGTGGACTGTCAGGGGATGGGTCTAGAAGGATAGGTGAATCATAGAATTGATGAGGGGAAAAGGGTGAGTGTGCACTTAGGAGTCCTGTGGAGACAAAGAACTTTGCCCTTTGGGGGCAAAGAGGGGAATGAATGAAGTATAGTTTTACCAACACTCTTATATGGGTGTGAAGCATGGGTGATGAATGTTGCAGCGGGGGAAAGGCTGGAGGCAGTGGAGATTCATGTCTGAGGGCAATGTGTGGTGTGAATATAATGCAGAGAATTCGTAGTTTGGAAGTTAGGGAGGTGCGGGATTACCAAAACTGTTGTCCAGAGGGCTGAGGAAGGGTTGTTGAGGTGGTTCAACATGTAGAGAGAAATGGAGAAAAACAGAATGACTTCAAGAGTGTATCAGTCTGTAGTGGAAGAAGGCGGGTAGGGGTCGGCCTAGGAAAGGTTGGAGGGGGGGGGTAAAGGAGTTTTGTGTGCGAGGGCTTGGACTTCCGCGGGCGTGCGTGAGCGTGTTTGATAGGAGTGAATGAGACGAATGGTTTTTAATACTTGACGTGCTGTTGGAGTGTGGGCAAAGTAACATTTATGAAGGGGTTCAGGGAAACCGGCAGGCCGGACTTGAGTCCTGGAGATGGGAAGTACAGTGCCTGCACTCTGAAGGAAGGGTGTTAATGTTGCAGTTTAAAAACTGTAGTGTAAAGCACCCTTCTGGCAAGACAGTGATGGAGTGAATGATGGTGAAAGTTTTTCTTTTTCGGGCCACCCTGCCTTGGTGAGAATCGGCCAGTGTGATAATAAAATAAAATAAGTTGAATTAAACACTCGTGTTTGTTTATTAATGTGAAAGGTAGGTTTGAACTATATGTAAAAAAAAATTGCCTAGTACTGGCTAAGCTTTTATGTAAAAGTTTATCTTACAAGTCATCCCTTTACTTTTTCTTACATCTAACTCTTAAAATGTACCTGAAGTTACATTCTGTAATTGCCTATTTTTTACCTATGTTTCATAGTATCTCTTAATATGTTCATCATATAATTTTTTAAAATTTTCAGTGGTTGTAGCACCCACTATCTCCTCTTTCAATTTATTCCATTCCTCCACCACTAAAAAAAAAAAATCCCATAATTCCTTCAGCTTTTTTATATATAGTTCTGTGGCCTCTTGTCATCCCTGTCGATAGTACTTAAAATGTTTTTTTTTCTTTCATATCCTTTTGTAACCTTTTGTTTTGTTATATCAGCCCTTTTTGTTTTTCCCTATCAGTCAGTGTGGGCATCTTGTATATTTTCTGCCTTTCATCATGATGATCCATTGTGCAGCTTTTCCCATTTTCTACATGAGGCACTTATTTCAGGTGTGGACATCACATATCACCTGCATATTCCAATTTTGGCCTTGTAGATGTTGTAAACAGCTTTATCAGCATTTCTCCATCCATATGATTTAACCCCTTAACCGTCCAAACGTAGATTTATGTTCTCTCGCCCAGCGCTCCAAATATTTTGAAAAATATTTTTTTTTTTTTTAAATGAAGAGGACATTTGTTTTACATAAAGTAATGTAAAAAAAAATTTCTAGAGCCAGTACTTAGAGATATAAGACCGCAAAGTTGGCACTTGTCACTTGCCTGACGGCAACATGACGGGCTGCCACTTGCAGATGTGTTGCCAATATACCTTTTTTCCTCATTTTTTTTAATTTGTATAATTTTTATGTTCTGATAATGACAATTTGTAGTAGTTCTTGTGATTTCATAGTTAATCTTTGTTCTGACACTATTATTAGGTACTGAAATAGTGCTCAAATAGTCATAAACACAGTGACAGGTGAACATTTTCACCAGTCTGTCACATACTATTGTCTAGAAATATACACCTAGTATTTATAGGTCCCAGCAATGTTTTGCATACAGGGAGTATATAATTAATAATAATAATAATGAGAATAATAATAAGTTCCCTTGATGCTTGATATGAGTGTGTCACTTGTCTTATCTTATCTCTTCACTCCACTGCTGACACTAATGAGCCTTGTCTTCACTGCTGACACTAATGAGCTTGTCTTATCACCCCACTTATGAGAATGGTGACATTTGATGAGTTTCCTCTTATCTCTCTCACTCTTACACATAAACATTGTCTGTCTATCTATCTCAAAGAGTTGCTCATGAACCAGCTGGTATTACACACGATCACTTTCTACAAGCACAGTATAGCACTTTGTCTGGAGTTTTTGGATTATCTTAGGTAATTTACACTGTGTATAATTGTATTTAGTTTGTGTTCCTGTGAGATAGACAGATATGGAGACAGAGATAGGTACAGACAGACAGACGAAGATAGAGAGAGTCAATCAGCCAACTAGCTGGTCAAACACTTTGTTTGGATTTTTTGGGTTATCCTAAGTAATTTACACTATGTATAATTGTATTAGGTAGATGGCAAGAATATTTTGAGGAACTTTTAAATGTTAAGGAAGAAAGAGAGGCAGTAATTTCATGCACTGGTCAGGGAGGTATACCATCTTTTAGGAGTGAAGAAGAGCAGAATGTAAGTGTGGGGGAGGTACGTGAGGCATTACGTAGAATGAAAGGGGGTAAAGCAGCTGGAACTGATGGGATCGTGACAGAAATGTTAAAAGCAGGGGGGATATAGTGTTGGAGTGGTTGGTACTTTTGTTTAATTTATTTATTTTTTTTTTTTTATTATCACACTGGCCGATTCCCACCAAGGCAGGGTGGCCCGAAAAAGAAAAACTTTCACCATCATTCACTCCATCACTGTCTTGCCAGAAGGGTGCTTTACACTACAGTTTTTAAACTGCAACATTAACACCCCTCCTTCAGAGTGCAGGCACTGTACTTCCCATCTCCAGGACTCAAGTCCGGCCTGCCGGTTTCCCTGAACCCCTTCATAAATGTTACTTTGCTCACACTCCAACAGCACGTCAAGTATTAAAAACCATTTGTCTCCATTCACTCCTATCAAACACGCTCATGCATACCTGCTGGAAGTCCAAGCCCCTCGCACACAAAACCTCCTTTACCCCTCTCTTCCAACCTTTCCTAGGCCGACCCCTACCCTGCCTTCCTTCCACTACAGACTGATACACTCTTGAAGTCATTCTGTTTCGCTCCATTCTCTCTACATGTCCAAACCACCTCAACAACCCTTCCTCAGCCCTCTGGACAACAGTTTTGGTAATCCCGCACCTCCTCCTAACTTCCAAACTACGAATTCTCTGCATTATATTCACACCACACATTGCCCTCAGACATGACATCTCCACTGCCTCCAGCCTTCTCCTCGCTGCAACATTCATCACCCATGCTTCACACCCATATAAGAGCGTTAGTAAAACTATACTCTCATACATTTCCCTCTTTGCCTCCAAGGACAAAGTTCTTTGTCTCCACAGACTCCTAAGTGCACCACTCACTCTTTTTCCCTCATCAATTCTATGATTCACCTCATCTTTCATAGACCCATCCGCTGACACGTCCACTCCCAAATATCTGAATACATTCACCTCCTCCATACTCTCTCCCTCCAATCTGATATTCAATCTTTCATCACCTAATCTTTTTGTTATCCTCATAACCTTACTCTTTCCTGTATGAAAGAGGGGAAGGTACCTAGTGATTGGCGGAGAGCATGTATAGTCCCTTTATATAAAGGGAAAGGGGACAAAAGAGAGTAAAAATTATAGAGGAATAAGTTTACTGAGTATACCAGGAAAAGTGTACGGTAGGGTTATAATTGAAAGAATTAGAGGCAAGACAGAATGTAGGATTGCGGATGAGCAAGGAGGTTTCAGAGTGGGTAGGGGATGTGTAGATCATGTGTTTACATTGAAGCATATATGTGAACAGTATTTAGATAAAGGTAGGGAAGTTTTTATTGCATTTATGGATTTGGAAAAGGCATATAATAGAGTGGATAGAGGAGCAATGTGGCAGATGTTGCAAGTACATGGAATAGGTGGTAAGTTATTAAATGCTGTAAAGAGTTTTTATGAGGATAGTGAGGCTCAGGTTAGGGTGTGTAGAAGAGAGGGAGACTACTTCCCGGTAAAAGTAGTCTTAGACAGGGATGTGTAATGCCCACCACGGTTGTTTAATATATTTATAGATGGGGTTGTAAAGGAAGTAAATGCTAGGGTGTTCGGGAGAGGGGTGGGATTAAATTTTGGGGAATCAAATTCAAAATGGGAATTGACACAGTTACTTTTTGCTGATGCTACTGCGCTTATGGGAGATTCTAAAGAAAAATTGCAAAGGTTAATGGATGAGTTTGGGAATGTGTGTAAAGGTAGAAAGTTGAAAGTGAACATAGAAAAGAGTAAGGTGATGAGGGTATCAAATGATTTAGATAAAGAAAAATTGGATATCAAATTGGGGAGGAGTATGGAAGAAGTGAATGTTTTCAGATACTTGGGAGTTGACGTGTCGGCGGATGGATTTATGAAGGATGAGGTTAATCATAGAATTGATGAGGGAAAAAAGGTGAGTGGTGCGTTGAGGTATATCTGGAGTCAAAAAACGTTATCTATGGAGGCAAAGAAGGGAATGTATGAAAGTATAGTAGTACCAACACTCTTATATGGGTGTGAAGCTTGGGTGGTAAATGCAGCAGCGAGGAGACGGTTGGAGGCAGTGGAGATGTCCTGTTTAAGGGCAATGTATGGTGTAAATATTATACAGAAAATTCGGAGTGTGGAAATTAGGAAAAGGTGTGGAGTTAATAAAAGTATTAGTCAGAGGGCAGAAGAGGGGTTGTTGAGGTGGTTTGGTCATTTAGAGAGAATGGATCAAAGTTGAATGACATGGAAAGCATATACAATGGACCCGCGACCAGCGATGGCATTGATTAATAGTAAATCTGACTAGTGATACATTTTAACGCAAAAATTTTGCCTCAACTAGTGCTTAAAAACCCGACCAGCGCTATTCGTTCCGTACCATACGCGTCCACTTTAGCCTGAGCGCGCCTCGCTTGTCCCTTGGGTACCAGTGTTTACAAGCCAGCCAGCCACCGCAGTCGCTTCCAAACATACAACAACTGGAACATTTCATATTATCACAGCCTTTGTAGTGATTGCACCTGCAAAATAAGTCACCATGGGCCCCAAGAAAGCTTCTAGTGCCAACCCTACAGCAAAAAGGGTGAGAATTACTATGGAGATGAAGAAAGAGATCATTGCTAAGTATGAAAGTGGAGTGCATCTCTGAGCTGGTCAGGTTGTATAATAAACCCCAATCAACCATCGCTACTATTGTGGGCAAGAAAACGGCAATCAAGGAAGCTGTTCTTGCCAAAGGTGCAACTATGCTTTCGAAACTGAGATCGCAAGTGATGGAAGATGTTGAGAGACTTTTATTGGTGTGGATAAACAAGAAACAGATAGCAGGAGACAGCATCTCTCAAGCGATCATATGTGAAAAGGCTAGGAAGTTGCATGACGATTTAATTACAAAAATGCCAGCAACTAGTGATGTGAGTGAATTTAAGGCCAGCGAAGGTTGGTTTGAGAGATTTAAGAAGCGTAGTGGCATTCATAGTGTGATAAGGCATGGTGAGGCCCGCCAGTTCGGACCACAAATCGGCTGAAAAATATGTGCAGGACTTCAAGGAGTACATAGACAGTGAAGGACTGAAACCTGAACAGTGTTTAATTGTGACGAAACAGGCCTGTTTTGGAAGAAAATGCCAAGCAGGACGTACATTACTCAGGAGGAAAAGGCACTCCCAGGACATAAGCCTATGAAAGACAGGCTTACTCTGTTGATGTGTGCCAATGCTAGTGGTGATTGCAAAGTGAAGCCTTTATTGGTGTATCACTCTGAAACTCCCAGAGTGTTCAGGAAAAACAATGTCCTCAAGGCTAATTTGTGTGTGCTGTGGAGGGCAAACAGTAAGGCATGGGTCACTAGGGACTTCTTCTATGACTGGTTACACCATGCATTTGCCCCCAATGTGAAAAATTACCTAATTGAAAAGAAATTAGACCTTAAGTGCCTCCTGGTATTAGACAATGCTCCTGGTCATCCTTCAGACTTGGCAGAGCGACTTTCTAGGGACATGAGCTTCATTAAGGTGAAGTTTTTGCCTCCTAATACCACTCCTCTCCTGCAGCCCATGGACCAGCAGGTTATTTCCAACTTCAAGAAACTGTACACAAAAGCTATGTTTGAAAGGTGCTTTGTAGTGACCTCAGAAACTCGACTGACTCTAAGAGAGTTTTGGAAAGATCATTTTACCATCCTCAGTTGTGTAAACATTATAGGTAAGACTTGGGAGGAAGTGACTAAGAGGACATTGAACTCTGCTTGGAAAAAACTGTGGCCAGAATGTGTAGACAAAAGGGATTTTGAAGGGTTTGAGGCTAACCCTGAGAATCCTATGCCAGTTGAGGAATCCATTGTGGCACTGGGGAAGTCCTTGGGGTTGGAGGTTAGTAGGGAGGATGTGGTAGAGTTGGTGGTGGAGGACAGTGAAGAACTAACCACTGATGAGCTGCTAGATCATCTTGAACAGCAAGAGGGCAGACCTGAGGAAACTGCTTTGGAGGAGGGGAGAGAGAAATTGAAGAAGTTGCCTACTTCTAAGATAAAGGAAATGTGTGCAAAGTGGCTTGAAGTGCAAACCTTTTTTGATGAAAATCACCCTGACACAGCTACTGCAAGCCGTGCTGGTGACTATTACACTGACAATGTTGTGAACCACTTTAGGAAAGTCATAAAGGAACGAGAGGTACAGGTATCTATTGACAGATATGTCGTGCGACAGAAGTCCAGTGACTCTGAAGCTGGTCCTAGTGGCATTAAAAGAACAAGTGAAGTAACCCCAGAAAAAGACTTGCTGCCTCAAGTGCTAATGGAAGGGGATTCCCCTTCTAAACACTAAGAAGATCAACGCTCTCCCCTCCTCCCATCCCATCAATCATCACCAGATCTTCAATAAAGGTAAGTGTCATGTAACTGTGCATGTCTTCTTCAGTTTGTGTGTATTAAAATTAATATTTCATGTGGTAAAATTTTTTTTTCAATACTTTGGGGTGTCTTGCACGGATTAATTTGATTTCCGTTATTTCTTATGGGGAAAATTAACTTGACTAACGATAATTTTGACTAACGATGAGCTCTCAGGAACGGATTAATATCGCTGGTTGAGGGTCCACTGTAAATCTATAGGGGAAGGAAGGCGGGGTAGGGGTCGTCCTCGAAAGGGTTGGAGAGAGGGGGTAAAGGAGGTTTTGTGGGCAAGGGGCTTGGACTTCCAGCAAGCGTGCATGAGCGTGTTAGATAGGAGTGAATGGAGACGAATGGTACTTGGGACCCGACGATCTGTTGGAGTGTGAGCAGGGTAATATTTAGTGAAGGGATTCAGGGAAACCGGTTATTTTCATATAGTCGGACTTGAGTTCTGGAAATGGGAAGTACAATGCCTGCACTTTAAAGGAGGGGTTTGGGATATTGGCAGTTTGGAGGGATATGTTGTGTATCTTTATATGTGTATGCTTCTAAACTGTTGTATTCTGAGCACCTCTGCAAAAACAGTGATAATGTGTGAGTGTGGTGAAAGTGTTGAATGATGATGAAAGTATTTTCTTTTTGGGGATTTTCTTTCTTTTTTGGGTCACTCTGCCTCGGTGGGAGACGGCTGACTTGTTGAAAAAAAAAAAAAATTGTATTTACGTGTGTTTATGTGAGATAGACAGATGTAGAGACAGAGATAGATACAGACAGACAGACTGAGATACAGCCAATCAGCCAGCCAGCCAGCCTGCAGAAATTACAGTTCCAGAATTTTATTTTTTACTTAGGGGATAGGTTACAGGACATTCTGGCAGGATGACACTTTCCTCTTAAAAGGGAAGTGTTAATACGATATGACATCAGTGAATCCTTGGTGTTTGCTGCGCAGTATGCTCTGGCTGGCGCTCAATGGAACTGGTGCTCCCACAGGGTACTAAGTGGTCTCAGGTTTTTTTTAATACAGCATGCACGAGGGTTAAGACCCATTCTATGCTGACCAGGCATCTTAGGCCAATCGTGCCAAATTTGGAGGCAGGAAAAATAAAGCATAGATCTACGTTTGGAGTGCTAGCGGTAAGAGCACAGATCTACATTTGGACAGTTAAGGGGTTAAAAAGCTATTTTATTGTTAGACACTGTAGCTTATGTACTTCACAGTTTCATCTATATGAACTCTTGGGGACAGTTTTTCCATTTAGAAACAAAAAATCTTAAATGATAGAGAATCTTATGCTGAAGGTAATGACACCAAAAATATGAAATTTGGTTAAAAACTTAGGGAATTATGCAAACACAAGCTAGTATGCCTTCTGTTCTGTTGATTGAAAACAAGAAACCGCCTATTTGACTATAAGAACTAACTTACAAATTGTGCAGTATTTGGTAATTTGGCCAATTTTACACAAAATTTAAAAAAAAATAAAAACAGAGTTCAAAATATACACTTTAGACATTCCAGGCATTAAAGCAACATTTCCTCTGTTCATTAATCCCTTCCTCAGGTGTCTCCTATATTACACTTGCCTTCCGTTTTGAATTCATTATCATAAATAATCAAAGATTTATCCTATTTCTCATATAAAATATATGACTAGAAATGATTGGTAGAAATGATTGGTCATTGTTTACAGCATCCCAATAATTAAACAAGACCTAGTAGAAACCCATAACAGGCCAGGAGGTAGGAAAAAGCCTTACCAGTACTCGGGAAAATTGTAAAAATTTGAATATTTATGCTACTTTGATTCTGAATTCAAGCTACTTCATCCTGAAGCCAACCAATAACATCTCTATTTCAGTAGTATATTTTCCATTCTACAAGGGCCTAGTAACCCCTTCTCCTGTATAAATTACTAAATTTAAAAAGAGAAACTTTCGTTTTTCTTTTTTGGGCTACCCTACCTTGGTCGGATATGGCCAGTTTGTTGAAAAAAAAAAAAAAAATCCATTCTATCAAATGATGCCAAGAAATAGCTGATAAAACCACCCTAGAAAACACCTCAAATTTGCGGTTTTAAACCAAACACAAGGTCAGACTTTTGCTTTTCCCATCATGCATTGCATGTGGAAAGATTTATTTTTTATATTGTGCACAGTCATCGCACAGACCGATTCCCTCATGTCTAGGCCAAAATTTACTTCTTACAGCTTATCTTAGGGAGCTGAGCTTAAAAGGTAAGCAACCCTGACATCAGTAACATAGATCTATGGATGAGACCGTGAAAGGGTTAATAATAACTCCTGGATCCCATTCTGTAATGCTCTCAGATTGTTTTAACACAATCAATATAGTATATTTTTATGCAGTCTGATTTTACTTTTTCCCATTTCCATTACATGGCATTTTTCATTATTAAAATCCATCATTCATATGTCAATCCACTTGTTCAATATATCCATATCTTCTTGTAAAGATTGACAGTTCTTTGGCATTTATAATAATTTGCTCTTGTATTTAAAATCTACTCACAAGTTTTGCTGATTTGTCAGAGAGTTGGCACGACAGAAAGAAGTAAATGCAGACCAAGAAAGGATCATCAAAGAGTTACGAAAATTAAGTGCTCGACTCATTGCCCAACAAGAGCAGGTAATAAATGTTCAGGCAGTATTTCCCAAACTACTGAGCATGGTATTGTGGCTGTATTAATGGCTGACTGCCTGAGTGGGGAGGAAAAGACCCTTTTGCAAGGGAGCAAAATATGACCAGTACAAGTTTAGCACTCCCCCATAAATGTTAATAATACTGTTGTAATGTTTCATCTCGGGGTGGACTAAAGTCCATCACAGTAATAGATTTCACTGCAACATTGTGTCTTTGTCTCCACTTGTTGTCTTATGCCAGCATTCTGCACATTTTCTATTGTTAACACACTTGAGTTAGGCTTTGTATTATTTATATTTTCTGTATCACTTTTTTACACTATACATAAATTAGTGCTTTTAAACTTGACTAGACTGGTAATTTTGCTGCAGACTTTACTGGAGTTTGATTATCTCTACAGTTTAGTAGACTGATCATCTAGAACCATTACTAGACTGGTCTACACTATTTGTAAACTGTATTAGATAGATCCTAGGTAGTAGGTTGGTAGACAGCAACCGCCCAGGGAGGTACTACCATCCTGCCAAGTGAGTGTAAAACGAAAGCCTGTAATTGTTTTACATGATGGTAGGATTGCTGGCGTCCTTTTTTGTCTCGTGAACATGCAAGATTTCAGGTACGTCTTGCTACTTCTACTTACACTTAGTCACACTACACATACAAACATATATACACACACCCCTCTGGGTTTTCTTCTATTTTCTTTCTAGTTCTTATTCTTGTTTATTTCCTCTTATCTCCATGGGGAAGTGGAGCAGAATTCTTCCTCCGTAAGCCATGCGTGTTTAAGTGGCGACTAAAATGCCGGGAGCAAGGGGCTAGTAACCTCTTCTCCTGTATAAATTACTAAATTTAAAAAGAGAAACTTTTGTTTTTCTTTTTGGGCCACCCTGCCTTGGTGGGATACGGCCAGTTTGTTGAAAAAAAAAATTAGATAAACAGTATATAAAAGTGGCAGGGTTCAAACCCATGGCAAGCCAGACCTGAACCTATAGTCCAGTGATTTGTTTAGGGAGGCAAAAAAATTTTCTCTGAAAATGGTAAATAGCCATGGATCAAATGCTTCCTCACAAACTTGAATAAGTCTTTCATATACAGTGGAACCTCAAATATCGAACTTAATCCGTTCCAGGAGTTAGTTCTAAATTCGAAAAGTCTGAAAATCGAAGCATTATTTCCCATAAGAAATAACGGAAATACAATTAATCCGTTCCAGAAACCCAAAAATATTCGCAAAAAAATAAATTTTATAGAGATTAATTATAGTTTTGCATATACACAACAAATAGTGTTCAATTATGTACACCTACCATCCGACTTACGACCGAGTTCAGTTCCGAGAAACCGATCGTAAGTCGAAATGGTCATAAGTCAAACTTTACTACTGAATATCAACAAAACATTTTTGTAATGACTTTATTTTATTGTTTTATTTTGGTATTTCATGTTTTACTTTACTTTTTATGTTGTTAGTACTGTATTTTATACTGTATGGTTTAGGATAAACACTGTGTACAAAACAAATAGTTGTTTATTTCCCAGAAATTTGGCATAAAAAACACGGTCGTAAGTCGAGTGGTCGTAAGTCGAGCAGGTCGTAATTTGGATGGTAGGTGTATTAATAAATTTAAATAAACATATATAAAATAACATTTTACTTACCTTTATTGAAGATTGGTGATGGTATCTGGAAGATAGGGATTAGGAGAAAGGTAGTTGGGGTTAGTGTTTGGAAGGAGAATCCCCCGCCATGAGGACTTCAAGTATCAAAGCCCTCTTTGGGATTATTTCCCTTCGCTGTCTTTTAATGCCACTAGGACCAGCTTGAGTCACTGGACCCCTGTATCACAAAATAACTGTCCACAGTCCTCTGTTTCTGGTGCCTCTTTAAGATTTCCCTAAAATGGGACATGGTTCTGTCACTGAACTTGTTGCAAAGATGGCTTGTTTAAGCTTGCTCAGGGTGGTACTTCTCCGCAAACATTTGGACATCATTCTACTTGGACATCATTCCACTTCTGTATTATTCCTTCTTCACATCTATGGTGTTTCTCACTTTCTTTACCACAGGGGTACCACTAGCAAGTTTCATTGCTCCCATTGTAGCTTATTTCAGTCCCACAAGAACTAAACACAATGTTGGAATGAGATTGCAGGTTAGTGTTCACTCAAGCATCAACAAAGTCAGACTGGCTCATGGTGCCTGCGTGGGGGCACAGACAGAGCAGGCTGCCGGACAGATCCAGTACCCGGTGGTTCGAAAATAGGGGCGAGTTCGATAATAGGGACAAAGTTGGTTCGAAAAAAGGGCTCTATTTTCGAAGAGTTTGATAAGTGATGCATTCGAAATTTGAGGTTCCACTGTACCTTTAATTGAAGGTTAGAAGAGTTTTGATGAGAAAGTTGGCATGCTCTGACAGTATATCTCGCATGAGATCAGAGGGAAAAATGGGTCCTTATATTATGCTAAAATTATTTTTTTTTTTACATTTTTAGTTGCATATTCTTAATTAATAGGCATAAAAAGTAGTACTAGTGATTTTAAGCAGTTTTGAAAATCCAGCTGTAAATAGCTAAAAATGAATTTTTGAGAAAAAAATTTCTAAAAATGGGAAATAGGCACAATGGAATTTTGTTTTATCAGTTACATATAAAAAACTATGCAGTAGAGTCCTGCTTTATGGCGCTTTGCTTTATGGCATTTTGCTAATACAGACATTTCAAATTATGACCAAAACTCATTATATGGTTCTCCCCTTCCTACCTGACTCGCTGATGCGGTCTCCATACACCACTTTGTTTACATCCTCCATGAGCTCCATGTCTCTCTATTGTGTCTGGAAATTTTCCAAAGTTTCAAGTGTTTTAAAGTCATTGTGTATTTTATATACAGTGGAACCTCAAATTTCGAATGTATCGCTTATCAAATTCTTCGAGAATCGATCACTTTTTTTCGAACCAACTTTGTCCCTTTTATTGAACTCGCCCCTATTTTCGAACCGCCGTGTACCGGACCTGTCCAGCAGCCCACTTTGTCCGCGTCCCTGTGCAGGCACCTTGAGTCTGGCTTTGTTGATGCTTGAGTGAACACTAGCCTGCGCTCTCATTCAAACATTTTACGATTATTTCATTGTGTTTAGTGCTTGTGGAACTGTGAAATAAGCTACCATGGGCCCAAAGAAACTTGCTAGTGGTACTCCTGTGGTAAAGAAAGTGAGAAACACCATAGATGTGAAGAAAAAAATAATACAGAAATATGAGTGGTGTGAAACTTGTTGAGCTTGCCAGGATGTATGGGAAAAAATAAGTCGACCATCGCTTCTATCCTGGCAAAGAAACAACAAATCAAGAAAGCTGATGTTGTGAAAGGTGTTAATCTTTCTTTCAACACACCGGGTGTATCCCACCGAGGCAGGGTGGCCCAAAAGGAAAAACAAAAGTTTCTCTTTTTTTAAATTTAGTAATTTATACAGGAGAAGGGGTTACTAGCCCCTTGCTCCCGGCATTTTAGTCGCCTCTTACAACACGCATGGCTTACAGAGGAAGAATTCTGTTCCACTTCCCCATGGAGATAAGAGGAAATAAATAAGAACAAGAACTAGAAAAAAAATAGCAGCAAACCCAGAGGGGTGTGTGTATATATATATACTTGTACATGTATGTGTAGTGTGGCCTAAGTGTAAGTAGAAGTAGCAAGACGTACCTGAAATCTTGCATGTTTATGAGACAGAAAAAAGGTCACCAGCAATCCTACTATCATGTAAAACAATTACAGGCTTTTGTTTTACACTTGCTTGGCAGGACGGTAGTACCTTCCTGGGCGGTTGCTGTCTACCAACCTACTACCTAGGAAAGGTGTTAATATGCTAACCAAAAAAGACTTCAGACAGTCGATCAGGTTGAGAAGTTGTTGCTGGTGTGGATCAAGGATAAAGAGATGGCAGTTGATAGTGTTTCAGAGACGATTATTTGTGGAAAGGCAAGGAAGTTGCATGCCGATCTGGTACAGAAAACTGGAACCAGTGCTGATAGTGAATTTAAGGCCAGCAGAGGCTGTTTTGACAGAGTTAAGAAGTGTAGTGGCATACACAATGTTGTAAGGCATGGTGAGGCAGCCAGTTCAAACAAACAGGCGGCTGAGAAGTTTGTACAGAGTTTAAGGTTTATGTAGACACTGAAAAATTCAAACCCCAACAAGTGTTGAGTTGTGATGAAACAGGCCTGTTTTGGAAGAAAATGCCAAAGAGGACCTACATTACTAGGAGGAAAAGGCACTCCCAGGACACAAGCCTATGAAAGACAGGCTAACTCTTTTATTCTGTGCTAACGCTAGTGGTGATTTTAAAGTGAAGCCTTTACTTGTGTATCATTCAGAAAATCCCAGAGTGTTGAAGAAAAATAATATCTTAAAGAACAAATTGTGTCTTGTGGAAAGCAAATAATAAGGCATGGGTCACAAGGTAAATTTTCAAAGAGTGGGTCCATGAAGTGTTTGGCCCCAGTGTGAGAAAATACCTCCTAGACAATAATTTGCCACTCAAGTGCCTCCTGTTAATGGACAATGCTCCTGCTCCTCCTCCAAACTTGTTAGACCTCTTGTCTAGGGACTTCAGTTTTATAACTGAAGTTCTTGCCTCCAAACACCACTCCTCTCCTCCAACCCATGGATCAGCAGGTCATTTCTAACTTCAAAAAACTCTATGCAAAAGCAGTGTTTGAAAAGTGCTTTGAAGTGATCACAGACACTAAGTTGACCCTAAGAGTTCTGGAGGAATCACTTCAATATCTACAGCTCCATAAGTCTTATAGGTAAGGCTTGGGAGGGAGTGACTTCCAGGACTTTGAACTCTGCTTGGAGACAATTGTTGCTAGATTGTGTCCAAAAGAGGGATTTGGAAGGGTTTGAGGCTGACCCTGACCCAGCTGACCCTCTGCCTGTTGTGGACTCTATTGTGGCATTGGGGAACACCCTGGGGCTGGAGGTGAGTGGCAAGGATGTGGAAGAGTTGGTGGAGGACCACAGGGAAGAGCTAACCAC